GCGTCTAACGTAGTGAAATAAAGAACGCTAGTGTGAGCCTTTCCTTCTTGCTCTTGTAAAAGAGAAACAACTGAAATACGACCTCGCGATAAGCGGCATACGATTCCAAGCCTCGACTGCCCCAGCATTTTTACTTTCCGACCTATGTAAGGTACAATAAGGAAATTTATGAAGTATCATAATGTAAAAAAAATGTCGAAATTTTTTTTTAGCGGAAATACACGTTTTAGGACCCCCTGATCATATTGTGACTATTAAAAAAAAAGACTTTTTTTTTTGTTCCTATTACATATAAACGGCTGAATGAATTTCAATGAAACTTTACATTTCAGTTTTATGTTCTCGTTTCAAGGTCTGATTAGATTTTGAGCGTGATCAGCCCCCGGATAATGATGATTATACGACTTTTAGTTTTATAATTATTTCGATACATATACATTATTTGTAACAAATTTTGGCAATTATTTAGAAAAGGGGGAGGTCTCACCGATTTTGATGATTTTTGAATATGTTGTAAAAATCAACATTTTGAACAACTTTTTCCTATACATATAACCACCGCTGGCCTTATTTTTCGAGATTTTTCTTCAAAAAGATTGCTGCTACTGCAATGAATTTTGTCTATATGTACATGTCCGTGACTCTGTATGCGTCAGTCCACGACTTTTTTCCTCGACTTTCGACGTTTATATTAATAAATGTGAACAGAATCTCGTTCGATTTTGACCAGAGCGCACTGCATTGGACCTTCCTCTTTCGAATGAGACCTCATTCGACCCAAAAGCTGCTCATATAAGGGCAAAATTTCTTATTTCGAAACCCCCTATTTCGGGCCAAATTGTGTCGGTATACCGCGCGCTGCATTGATCGTGCCTACCTCCTTCGGTGTCTTTCAATCATCGATTCATTTTTGCTCATTTATTATTAACAATAAATCCAATATAGAGTCTCCCACGAAGCGGGATCTATGCAGGTGATTCAGTATTGGAATCGTACAACTCTTTTAGTAGCCTAACCCATACCTCGATTCTGCGGCTGTATTTCGATCATTTTTTCCTCGACTTTCGACGTTTATATTAATAAATGTGAACAGAATCTCGTTCGATTTTGACCAGAGCGCACTGCATTGGACCTTCCTCTTTCGAATGAGACCTCATTCGACCGAAAAGCTGCTCATATAAGGACAAAATTTCTTGTTTCGAGAACCCATATTTCGGGCCGAATTGTGTCGGTATACCGCACGCTGCATTGCTCGTGCCTACCTCCTTCGGTGTCTTTCAATCGTCGATTCATTTTTGCTCATTTATTATTTACAGTAAATCCAACACATACTCTCCCACGAAGCGTGTATATAAATGAAGAAGACTTTCGCGGCAATATTTTATTTTAATCAACATGCAACCCCACTCTAAAATCTTCCACAATAATGTTTCCAAAAAACTTGATTACTATGCATTCATTTGAAAATTTTACTGTACAAAATAAAGTAACATTTATTTTCGTGAATAATGTAGGGTATGAAATTGTAGACAATAATGTAGCGAAAGGCTGCAATACTTACTTTGAATATTCGCTCAAGTAGAGAGGTAACGCGTGCGCGCTCTAGCCGGATTGGAAACATTTGAAAACCTGGAAAGTATTGTCAGACTCCAAACTCGCAAAACTATTGGCCGATTCAAAACTTGATCGATTCCGAGATCCATATGGAATCGATAACTTTCTGTAGTAATTTGTGCTTGACGATTATTAAATATTAAATGTGGGTAATTATTTAGATTACGGACGGTAACACCGATTTCGGTGATTTTTGAATATGTTATAGAAATCAACATTTTGAACAACTTTTTCCTATACATATAACCGCCGCTCAGCCTTAGTTTCAGAGATTTCTCTTCAAAAAGATCGCTGCTACTACATACAATGAATTCTATCTATACGTAAGTACATGCTGTGGCAGCGTGTGTGTAAGCGTTCAATCGCCGATTGTTCATTGTTTCTATAGATGCATCGAGGCGGCCGACAATGGGTGTGCCTAAAACATCTAACCCTTATAAACCTAATTATTCTACCTAGTAACTAATATAATGGATTAGGTCTGGGTTAGATTTTCTTATACCGGCCGCCGTAAGGCGGTCGGCCACGTATTCATTTTCTATTTCAATTTTCTCTATTGATATTATCAGAAGTGGGAAACATTTCATTATTCGATCATTAAAATCATATTGTCGATGGAAGAAGAATTCAGCTAAATAGCCTACATAATGTATTTGGCGAGTTCCATACTTCGGAATATTCGAACCATTGACAGCAATACAGAACTAGATTTAGCTTCACACATTGTGCATTATTTCTTGTCACAAACAAGAGAAAAAATCGGCGATCGTGGACTGACGCATACAGAGTCACGGACATGTACATATAGACAAAATTCATTGCAGTAGCAGCAATCTTTTTGAAGAAAAATCTCGAAAAATAAGGCCAAGCGGTGGTTATATGTATAGGAAAAAGTTGTTCAAAATGTTGATTTTTACAACATATTCAAAAATCATCAAAATCGGTGAGACCTCCCCCTTGTCTAAATAATCCCAAAATTTGTTACAAATAATGTATATGTATCGAAATAATTATAAAACTAAAAGTCGTATAATCATCATTATCCGGGGGCTGATCACGCTCAAAATCTAATCAGACCTTGAAACGAGAACATAAAACTGAAATGTAAAGTTTCATTGAAATTCATTCAGCCATTTATATGTAATAGGAACAAAAAAAAAGTCTTTTTTTTTAATAGTCACAATATGATCAGGGGGTCCTAAAACGTGTATTTCCGCTAAAAAAAATTTCGACATTTTTTTACATTATGATACTTCATAAATTTCCTTATACCTTACATAGGTCGGAAAGTAAAAATGCTGGGGCAGTCGAGGCTTGGAATCGTATGCCGCTTATCGCGAGGTCGTGTTTCAGTTGTTTCTCTTTTACAAGAGCAAGAAGGAAAGGCTCACACTAGCGTTCTTTATTTCACTACGTTAGACGCTAAGGAAGTTCGCCGTCATTACTGTCGATTTCGATGTACTCAATTATGTCGAAATAAGAGATTTTGCCCTTATATGAGCAGCTTTTGGGTCGGATGAAGTCTCATTCGAAAGAGGAAGGTCCAATGCAGTGCGCTCTGGTCAAAATCGAACGAGATTCTGTTCACATTTATTAATATAAACGTCGAAAGTCGAGGAAAAAATGAACGAAATACAGCCGCAGAATCGAAGTATGGGTTAGGTTGTCAGCATCTGGCTTTCTCGGGCGACGGGCCTATGTATCGAAGCTAACGCTTCACTTTGGTATGGTTTCACCTTCACAGCCCTCTTGATTAGGCGCCATCTCGTAGCGACTGCCTGAACTAAATTTGTCACGTGACTTGCTCTGCTATTACCCATGTAATGGCGGAACTCGCTTGTGGGAATGCAATTCCGAAATAAGAGATTTTGTCCTTATATGAGCAGCTTTTGGGTCGGATGACGTCTCATTCGAAAGAGGAAGGTCCAATGCAGCGCGCTCTGGTCAGTATTGGAATCGTACAACTCTTTTAGTAACCTAAAAAGACCTCGATTCTGTGGCTGTATTTCATTCATTTTTTTCTCGACTTTCGACGTTGATATTAATAAATATGAACACAATCTCGTTCGATTCTGACCAGAGCGCACTGCATTGGACCTTCCTCTTTCGAATGAGACCTCATTCGACCCAAAAGCTGCTCATATAAGGGCAAAATCTCTTATTTCGAAACCCCCTATTTCGGGCCAAATTGTGTCGGTTTACAGCGCGCTGCATTACCCGTGCCTACCCCCTTAAGCCACGTTTCCACGTATACATCGTAAAGCACAGACCACAAACGAGCAACAAATTTCAAACAACGATTAAAAGATCAGCAACTTTTCATCCATTACCCTTTCAGTAAAAATTAGAGCTCAAATTACACAATGCAATATTTCACAGTATAAACGAGTAAAACTATTTACAGGTATCACTTCCTGTGTTATTTGCAATTTACCAATATAAGGAAAGGCGTGTATTTTGCAATGTAAAATTTCAAAATATCCTCAATTTTGTCCACTCTGATCGAAGAGTTAAAATGTGCTTGCATAATAAATAAGATATTTGTGTTTTCGATGAGCGAAAAAATTATTAAAATTAGTGGAAATATTAAAATCCACAGAGGTGCATTCAGAGACGGATGGAACCGTGTATCGACGAGTGTTCCTCGTGTGTGAGTGTGAGCGTGTGCAGTCGTGCGCACACCTGACTAGAATTCAAACGACGCGAGCCGGAAATCACACCTGTAAATTTTCAAGTGTTTATAGCTTGGCAACGAAGCCCCAGACAGAAAAATGGTGAAGGACTTTTCAATTTGTTCCAACACGATGAATTAATCGTGAAAAATATTCCACAACGAATTTTCTTATAAAATAATTAAATTCCAATTTTAATTACAATTTCATCTTAAGCGCTGTAACTATCATCCTTCTCGATAGCTCGTTCCTTCGTTTCCCATCGGGTGGCAGTATCGCTGTCTAGTTTATCGCGAATCGTTAGCTTCTTGGAACTTCTTCGAAAGCACAGGGATTATCGCTTCGTTAGGTTCGTCGTTGTTCGTGAAACTCGAACGTTGAAACGATGCTCGGGGCGAGAAATTGGGAAGAAAGGGATTACCACTTTTTGGATATTTTGTGGAAAGTTCTCTAACAAGTGGAACGCGGAAGTTGAGTTGCCTCAAGAATAGCACTCGATGTTCCCTCAATCCGAGGGAAAGACTTTTCGACAATGGCCGCCATGTCGCGGGACGAAACGTCGAATGCTTCTATTTAGAACGACTCAACGTCACACCTTCCACTTTGGAGACTTTCTCGACTGTATCGAAACCCTCCCTTTTAATAATACCGATTCTTTTTATTTTCTTCCTCAATTTATTTCACTGTTCTTACAAATGCTACTCTTTGTTGCAGGTAACGCTTTCCCAGTTCTGATATTCTCTGGCATTCGAATTCGTGGACTTAAAACAGTTCAGGTAACAATTTTAAAATTTGAAGAACGTCTAAAGTTATAAGCACTTTAGTATAGCGCACAGAGCAGGATTATAACCTGATTCAGTTATCAGACTCACCCAGTATATTAATAATAACGGGAAATAGGGGGAACTTTTACATTTTGATTTCTTATCAGTCATTTTTCTCTCCATCGTGCATTTATCAAGAAAAGAATAATAAGTACGTAAACATGATTAGGTCGTAAGATCATTCATAACGCTAATTACATCTAAACCGTAACATTATCTTGTAGCCTCTTTTTACTTATTACTGGCGCAATTTAGACGTGGTTATTATCTTTATTACACGCCTATTATGAATTCGCACTGCGTGCTTCAGACGGCAATGCAAACGCACGCAGTTGCAGCGCGACGAAGAATTAATATTTACATAGCGAAAATAAATTTTACAGCGAGACTACTCGTATAATAAAACGATAACTTTTACAGTTTTACGGGTGGGGTAAAAAGTAATACAAATATCGATGATAGACATTGAAGAAACAATTTTCCAAAAATTTCTTTTCATGAAATTTTAAGCGAATTTTGATGAAGTCGTCGACCATTGTGAAAGCTGAGTCTTTGAATACTTATTTTTAAGGCTATTTAATCTTTTTATGGTAAGAATGTTTGAATTTTGTTCGTAGCGTTTGACCATTTGGCACACATTCGTTCCGGTTCTAATGACTCGGATAAATAAAAAATTTAATATCGATCTTAATGGCTTATGCCACGATTCCCCTTGAACTCGTGGAACTCACGACTCTCGTCGTCAATAGTCACTCTCCGTTCTCTCTCGACCGCGAGAACACAGACCACAGCGGTTGACTCTGGATAAAGCGGGGGCGGCGGAGTCGTTTCAAGGGGGGAAGGGGGACAGGGGGACGGGGGAGGGGGAGAAATAATGCAAACGTTGATTCACGGGAAAACAAAGGAGCCGCTTTGTGCGCGTCGAACACGGTGAATGGACTTCGCGTTCGAGAAGTTATGAATGAGCTTAGAAACCGAGTGCGTGCGCATATGCACTCCGCCGGTGCATGTGCGCACGTGCATTGACGCGCGCGTCGTTCTCTGCGCTTGCGTAAATGCCCGCGGAACTCGTTCGATTATAATAGACAGAGCAATTCTCGTCAGTTTTGAAATATAATCCCTGTAAACGTCGCGGTGGTTCCTTTCAGTTTCGTATAAAGCAGATGGTGATGTTTTCTTTGCGTACACACAATGCAGTTTTTGCTTTTATTGCTGCGTTCAATGTTTGCATACAGTGAAAAAATGGTACTTGTTATTCTTGAGAGAAAACGAAGACTAATTATGAATTGTACTCGGGTCGAGATTAACGCTGAGAGCGATTATATAAATGGCACTAAAATGATACTGGAAAAATGGCACCCAAAAATGGCACTTGTTAGTTTTGCAAAAAAGTATTTGTACTCGGGTCAAGATAGATGTAGCGAACGATAATAAAAATGGCACCAAAATGGTACCCAAAAATGGCACTAATATCTCTAAGAACTCGTTCGATTATCACGCACAAAGGGATGTTGCGTCCATTTTGAAATATAATCCCAGTTAACGACGCTTCGTGGTGGTCCTTTCGCCTCGGTTCACCGAAAACAGAAGGCGGTTCTTATTTTCCTTTATTCGGTGCATGTAGCGTGGCCCCAAAATGATACGACGTCGAGAGTCTCTCGTTTCGTCGATTTCTGGGGCAAGTTCGAAGCATCCGTGGAAGCGTTTATTAATCCAAAGGAGTTTCGCGGAAAGCGGAGTAATTGCGAACGAGACAGAGTAGTTTATCGGTTGATGACAGCATTCGTGTAATTACGGAGCAAAGCGTGAGATAATTTTTATCGTACGTGATAAGAAGGTACACGAAAATTCGTCCGGGAAGGATCGCGGCGCCTGGTTACGAAGCTTTATCTGGTCGACCGATTTGTTTAACCCAGTTTCGAATTTCGTGATGCTCGAAATAGGAAACTCTGCTTTTGATCGAGCTCCAGTCCTTCGAGTTTGACGCAAGTCAACAAATTTTGCAACTCGGAAGTCTTTTACAAATTAATGTTTGTTACAATCTTGCTTTTATGTTTCTTTCCCCTGAATCTCATTATCGCTCACTGTATTTATATTTTTCAATATTTTTCCACGTTTTGTAGTCGTTTATGATTTTTCTGAGGAGGATCAACTCCACCTCAATTTTTCATTTGATTATCGAACCAACGAATTTAAGGTCTCCATTGAATTAAAAAAATTCACTTAAGAACTCTAAAGCCACAATTAAATATATGGTTATGCAACTTCAGAACTGCATAAAGTTAAAAGGGATTAAAAATTCTACTGAAAGTTGGTCTTACCTCGAGAGGTCAATCAAGAATCGGTGAAAAAACGCATAGAAAATTGAATGAAGCGAAGATTGGAGTGGAAAAGAGGAGAAGAAAAAAGGGGGAAAAGAGCTCGCATAATTTCCGATGAAAAGGACCACTTTGTGCTCATTTAAAAATATTTTAACGATTCAAGTTGTGAAAAATTCCCTTCCAGGGGTCACTGACTCGCGCAGAAATACAGAAATTGCTCTAGCTCGTGCAAAAGGATCCAGGCGATTCCGACGTCGATCGAGCAATCTTGCCAGCTAGAGTCTCGCGAGCAACAAACCTGGCTGACATTTTGTTCTCATATCGTTATGGACGATAGAATACACGACGAATCGCAGTGATTCATAGTGACTCGGTTCGTTAAGAATTCGTCTGGCGGCGGCAGATCCATCTTGTCGGAAATTATTGATCCCCAGCGTTATCGGCAGTTTCGACGCGCACAACGTTGATGAAGAAATTCCTGAGCCGCTGACGTTCGGATCCCGACAGTAACTGACGACCGGCTCGATCCACGCTCGATCGCTGATGAAAATACCTAGACTCATTAACGTTATGGAGTTCGCGTTCTCTGCTCGCGTTATCAGCAATTGCTTCTCCTAATTAACGTGCCCCGGGTGTCTTCAAACATTTCATACCATTTTTCGAAAACTTCATTCGCGAAACAACGGTCGAACCACGCGGTCTGCTTGCATTTCAATTAAAACATACGATAAAAGAGATTTAGAAGTAGTTATTCTTAAAAGTTGTTGTTCCAATTATAGCGTGAGAAATAGAAATATTTAATAGTTCAATGGTTTGTTCTTACTGTATAGAATTTCTAATGGCAATAAAAGTTGGGGATTTATTGCTCTTTCAACTCTAAGTATGTCTTATCAAGGGATACTTCTTTGTCAGTGTTTAAAAGCAATTTTGAAAACACTGTGGATGAACAAAGCACTAGAATCTAACTAGAAAGAAGTATACTGCTTCTAAATGTATTAATTATCATATGGAAGAAATGTGAAAATATGTCTATAGCATGAAGAAGAAACTTAATGAGATTGAGGGAAATTAAGAAATGAGAAACGAGTTGGAAATAAGTAAATAGAAAAAATAACAAGTACAGAAATAGATGCTCATAGTCCATAAATGGAATGAATGAATATGCAGGGAAAACTATATGGGTAGATTAGAATTTTAAGCAAACGAAGAAAACAGATTAACATAATGACGGTAAAGTTTGCCTATCAACGGAAGTAGGTTATGATGTAAGCGATACAAGTTTCTTCTGTAGTTTATCTAACTGTGTCGCGTGTTATATTCCTCTGTTTCGTCGATATGCTAAAATTATTACCTACGTGTGTTTCCTTTTCTTACATATTTGTGTTAACATAGGTTGCTTAATTTATTTATAAGCTTAATTTATATCGACGTTTCGTTCGTGGTTTTCCAATTATATAAATTAACTCTGAATTTTACTACTCTTCTAGACTTATAAAATACAAGAATGCGAGTATAAAGAAACATTAACCTGCACAAAGAAATTATCAACAAAACTGACACTATCTTTCTATTATCATTTATTCATTGTCAAATAAATATTCGATTGAAGTGTTCCAGATTAAAGGCTTGAGCATCGCCTTTCGTTTATTGTACTTCGTGCACACAGCTTGCGTGAATGTGTGTGTGGTAGGATAAGATAAGTTACGTCGAATTCCAATGTGGTGGGTAGAACCGGCTTCATTACCGATTGAAATTCATATTTTGAATGTACAGAATGGTTCGGTGCATTTTTGGTAAATGTTCGAAAATGCTGTTTATTCGACGGTAACATTTCCTTGCGTTAATTATCTTAAGGCGGTGAATAGCTACGTCCTGACCTAGTTTCCGGAATCACCGCGTACAGGAACATAAAATTCGAGGCTGATTGGGTTAATGTTCACAGTTCCTACCGAAGTCTCGAAAGTGGTCTGAAATTATGTGGAAGCGCGGCGGAATCATCCTCGGGAACACGCGATCGCCAGCTCAATTGTGAACGTGAGAATTAATTGGCAAATCCCGTTTCTGCGGCCGATGAATCGAAGATGCACGCCGGCCGCATCTTCGTAAACAGGTTTTCTTTTAAAGCACGAGCTAGGTCGACGGCTTCTGTAATGCGAGACATCCACCGCGTAACCTATCGTCTAGCCCACCATCGTGGTTCTCGGTTTCACGTCAGAAAACGCCTTGGGAAGGGCGGTTTCTCGCATCAACTTCTTCGTGTTTGCCGGCTTAACAGCGATCCGATTCCCTGGAACACCGACACGAGAGCCAAATTTGGAAACCTGCTCGATAAATTATCCCCTTCTCATCCTGCACAGAGATTGAAACTTATAGAAAATATGATATTAATTGGAAATATCCGAGGAACAAATTATGAACAATATTTCTTTAACCCTTTCGAAACTGTTCGAACACATATGTCTCTGTCAAGTTTAAACGTAGATGATAACTTTCAATGTATTCAAATTTTTGTTTCTTTTTTACAAACATGTTTCCTTAGCTATTGCATGTGTTAATAGATGTGTATCATACCTGAATAAATTTTGTCATAATATTTATAAGACTAATAGCATCTTTAATAGTTAATAATTT